AACATTTTTTCTTGCTTAAAATTACCATAAAAGGAAAATTTTTAACAAAACGGACGTGATCAGGAGAGAGTTTTTTTAATTTCTTTATTTTAAATAAGCATTGATCATTTAATATTAATAATATTAACTTATTTCTATAGTATTAACTGGTCTTATTAATTAGTATTACAAGAAGCTACAATTAATTTGCATAAAAATATAATGATTATAAACTTGAGTTTAATAAAAACCTTATATTTAATACTTGTTTGTGATGAAAAATAAAAATAAAAATTATTTTGTTTAATTAACTATTTATTTAACAATATGTATATATGTATATAACAAATTTTCTTTAACAAAACAATATTCCAGTAAATCAACTTATCAATAGACATACTGTATATTGAATAACAGTTGACATTGAGTAATTCAATAAATTGATCTTTTTCAAACAATAATACTCATCTATTTGTTAGTACTATTTATATAACAACCAATGAAAATTTAAAAACATGGGCATTACACCAAAAAAAAGAAATCTTGAATTTTACTGGCCAGCTATTTGTATGCATAATTAATCATCGTGTAAAATTATTTATGGCAAACGACTATATTATGGAAAGTCAGTTTTGAAGGAATTTGTTAATCAACGTCGACGATCTCACAAGGAATAGTAATCTAGCGCGAGAGCAGTCGAATTGGAATGAGAGATGCTTGAATGTAGTATTATTGGTTCTTTGAACATAAGAGCATGTGATCGATCACTTGCGCACAGCCCTAAAATACGCTACCTGTTTCGTCGATTCTTTCGTGAGGAAAAGAAAGGCACTAGTATAGCAATGGTCGAACTGGTATTGCGTATATCGGGACCGACAAATTAAATGCCATATTTGGTAACCGTCGTTTAATTTACGGGCATCCTCTTGGTCACTCCTAGCGCAATGTCCCGTGTTTTATTTAATGACTCCACTTGCATGACCGATAATGTCAAATCCACGAGTGTTTTCTTTTTTAAAAAAAAAATGAAAATATGCAAAGTCTTCCTTCCTTTGAGATGATCAGGATGACATGCAATGCAAAAATAATATACAGCATGTGTGTGTGTGTATGTACACAGTTTTTCGAGCTTTACCGAAGACGTTCTTTTTCATTAGAAAAGAAACGTGGCGAAACCCTGAGCGATAATTGCCGTATATGGATTACAGAAGTTGAATCGTTTCACAGAATTGCGAAGCCTTCTTTTTTTACATGCACGATATGTTCGAGATCCGAAAACGGTACACCTTTACAGAATAAGAAATACACAATCAAGTTTTTTTTTTTTTCCGTAAGATGTGATGAAAATCTCGGTAGCAAAAAATCAGAACCTACAGTTCCGATGGACTGTGCCGCTCGACATCCGAATCTGGGTGCAGCTACCGTACCAGCTGACACAGTTGTCTGTCCTCATACCCATGTCCTCGTGACATTTTTTGATGAGATTCAGAACGAAGGAAGGATCTCACAACCATAGAAATTCGATGTTCACACGGTCATACGCCTTTTCGTACTGGCATGCGATGCCAGAATGGGTCATTTGGTCATGAAAAACAAATTGTTGTGCACACACCATGGTGACGCATCCCTTTCTTTTCATATAACAAATAAAACTTACCGGGTCTCCTCGGTCGGTACCATGCCGAACTTAACAAATAAAATGGTCTTTCTTGTAACATAAATGTTATTTGTGAGATGAAAAGTTTAGTGCACTCTTATTGTTATCACTCAGTCTGGAAGAAAGATGGGGAAGTAAACAAGGTGTGTGTGCATTGGGGACCATCAAATTGTTTGTCTCAACCAATTTTACTGCGGCACCGAAGGTAACTCAACTTTACAAAAAACTTTGTCGGTATAACCAAACAAATAAAATTTTCCATCGGAGCGAATTCCACTTTCTCGATTCACACAGACCCAATGATCCATTTATTTATTTATTTCATTTATTTATACAAACCAAACTGGTTATCGCCAAATTAGAACTAATAGTCATGTTACATTGGTGATTCACAGATAAAGTGGAAAGTTTTACATGGAAATTGACTCCGATAACGCAAAAGGCATGTGACCATCGTGACCATGGGTATACATTGCGAATCTTGAGGACGCATGAGATTCACGGGCGACTCGACTTAACATCTTTTCGGGCCTTGACGGCACCCGACGGTTGACCATCTGATTTCGAGATTGTCGGAATCAGTCAAAAAGAAAAGAAATCCAAGAATTCATTCATCAAATCTCGTTCAACCGTGAAATGGGATTTAATGATGCGCACGGATAAGTTCTTAGCAACGTAAAGAGAGGAAAAAAAAAAAGAGTTCGACCAATCGAGTCATGTGTTGTGTGTACGCACAGCATGTTTCAGCGTTTTCGCGTGACTCGCGAAAAATGCAAAGATCGGAACACGCGATTTTCACAAGTGCGTTAACTCGCTCTGGAAATTTGGCGCGTGTTTTACAAATCCCGAGACCAATGAATAATCAAATCCGGGAAAGTGGTTTCGACACTCTCTCACCTGAATTCGCGGTCCAACCGGTCTAACCATACGACAGTTCTTTACGCTTTCCTCACATCTCATAGAACATATAAGAGTTCCACCATCCTCGGAGCTCAAACTAAGTCATGCGTTGGTCATTGACGCATAGATATGCATTCCCTATGGAGAGGATGCAGACAAAGGAATTGGTCGTTACCTCGTGCCTCCTGGGCGTCAAGAGATGCGCATGTCATGAATCAACTGCGCGAGATTGGAAATCCTTCTATCCCGAATACTTGCCTCAATGCGTTCTGAAATTTTCACCTTTTTCAAAATGCCATCGAAAATTTTTACCATTCGTTATCAATTTAATCAAATTTTTTTTACAGGAATGTTACCGGTTGGAAATGACGTGATTCACCCAGAATATAAGATATTGCAAGCAATAAGATAATTAATTTGAGGCTTATGAGAATTGTGAAACTCTTGTGACTATTATTGATTATATATATAAATTATCATTATCAGTCATCGTGGCCTAACATAATAACAATAGTAATTTGGGAATAAATTTAGTTTCACCTAACATAATGTTTATCAACTCACAAATAGGATTCAAATCACTGAGCAATCTCCGAGTCATCATCACACCGACTACCAAATTCATTTACACCAAACAAATCACGTGCATAAAAACATACCTGGATTTCCAGGATGTCGGTTCTTTATTTGTCGACTGGACGACCAATGATTACAAAAGTACTTGGAAAATTTGTTTCGTAAATAAGAACCTTGTCTAAATTCGTCTTTGTGAGACCGACGATCATAACCAGTTAACGTATTGATAATAAATGTTGTGATATATGGAAACATGTCATTTGAACAAATCATGAGGAAAAGAAAAAAGGAATTCTTTATTGATGAAGGCGTTCCCCAGGTACCAGCTAACTGTTTTCTTTTTACATTTTGAACCGACATTTGTTATCATAGTGAACTCATCTCGATAATGGCACATAGGTCGATCATCTCGTAAAGAATACATCATGCGAAATAGCAATTTCCCAAATTGATTAGACTAAGCAATAACCAGTAATCCAAGCGATCTGCAACGGCCTAAAGATAACAAGAATATACCAATGAATGTCATTTGCCATTCATCATTCAGGGAACAATGAAAATAATGCGTCGCGGCGCAGTCAAAGGTGATTTATCGTCGTCTATGAGCCTCTCGCACGAATCCTCGTGAGTGGCAAAGTCAACAACAAAAGGCAAATATACCTGATTGAATCCGCTCTCTTTTGTCGCAGATCGAAAAAAAAAAAAAACTTGCTCCAAAGGAAAAATGTGGACATACGCATCTCATCATAACATCGTCTGAAATGATTACCAGAATTGGCATCGCTATGGTAGTGTATTGCTCGCCGAAAAAAGCCTCGATTTCTTTATTTGACAATGAATTAACACATGAATTTAGCTCCTCGGCTCCTACCTTTTAATGAAATGACAGTCAAGATGATGATAGGTCATGCATCGTCACAGCCCAATTGCTGAACACTTTGCATGACCTCGTGGCATTTGTTTATCTCGATTGAAAACTGTCATAATTGGAAAAAAAAGGAAAACCCCGTAAGCGTTAGTTGACGTTTAGGTGGTGCATGCACATCGTTCCATCATGCTATCATTCTCCTCCCATCTCGAAGATATCATGAAGATGCAACCTTCGCATCATCTAGGGGCCCAAATTGAGACATCATTTGTCGTTCATTGGCCAGCACAATCTCAAAGACAGAATAGTTCGCTCGATGCAACTCAGTAACGCATGTGAAACCGCAATCATCCAAAGTGTTTTAGTCCAAGACCTGAGCCCTTCTCAGAAGCCTCGGTCTCTTATCGTTTTTTTTTTTTTTTTTTGCACGTGTAGATCTTCTAAAAACATCGGCTCGTTGAATTTGTTTGGAAATGACCAAAAGGGGTGAAAGTAAATATTGGAGTGATGGCTCATCCGGTTGGTCGCTAGATAATTCGTTCAAAAAAGCGCAATCGAACCCTTGGAAAAAAAAAAAAAAAAAAAAAACGTTTTACAAACAGGATCTTTGACGGAAAAAAACGACGGACAAATAAGATATCCAGTAATGCTCTATCGTCATTCTTATTCATTTATTTAATTAGAAGTAATCACCGAAAAAAAAAAAAAAAAAGGAATTATGGAATTAATGAGGAAAAAAAAAAAACTTGGATTTCCAGTTGAAATCAGGAAATCCCGAAAAAAAAAAATTTTTTGTACGAAAGCCAGTTGAAAGCCTCCACCATCAATTACTCCAGTGCGTTGCTTTTCACGGCTAAAGATCGATGATCGCTTTCACCCTAATCAATGTTCGTTGGATGTGGAGGGCGGTGTGGGGTTAGTCGAAGCATGTGGGTTGTTTGCATTTCATAGGAAAATAAAAGCGTCTTGTACAAATCCTGATTTCTGCCTATCATCATAACGACTTATTTTAATTAATTAATGTTTATTCGACTGGTTTTTTTTTTTTTCTTGTCATTGGATTTTGGTCGATGACTAAGAGGAATTCAAATTCGTGATAATAGAAATTTGACGGGTTAAAACAAAGGACGATATGAATGATAAACAGTCACCGTTTATCGAGTGAAATTCTCTTTTCGAAAAAAAATCGATCACTTTGGACTTTCTCAAATAACAGTTTCTTCTTTGAAAATTCGGGACATGTTAATGTTGTTTTCGCATGTTACCAAAGTTCAAATTTTCATGTTACACTCGTCGAAAAGAATATTCATTAGAGGCATGATTGCCCTTGTTGGTCAAAAAAAATTTCTAATCATATACACAATTATGTGCGCATACATAATCCACAAGCTGTGGAGTAACGAATAGGCAATTTTACAAAAAAACATTCCTAATTTGAAAGAATCATTTTTCGGAAGTGGTTGAGAATGATCTCCGATCAAATTTTAAGGTGAGACGAAACTCGCCTCAAAGGAAACCTTGATGCCTCGTGAATCATGAGTTTTCGATTAGTATGTATAATTTCATTCCGACAAGCCCGAAAGCTTAACAATGACAATAACAATGATTGTCGCCCGACATTTTTGTCTTCCTCTTTTTTTTTTTTTAACATAAAGAAAGAAAGAAAGTGGAAAGGCGATGAAACTACATGCACCCAAAATAGACCAGAAGAGAGCGCAGGCATTAATGCAGAAATAACGCAAGAGGTCACACGCAAGATAAGAAGAGACAATAAATCTCGATTTATGAGTTACATTATCGATTATGAGAGTTTTATTTTGCATATGCATTTTTCCTCTCCTGAGCTGCCCCCATGTTCTTTGTGGCGTGTCGAATTTTACATTCGTATGCACACAAGGTTTTTTCTTTGTGACAACAAGTGGTAATAATGGTACGACATCAAAAATGAATCGATAAATTCTCTTCGAGACAAGAAAAACGCATACGCACCCCTTCACGGACAATAACGAAAATTTGGTCATCCGGATGTCCATTGTCCCCAGGTGAGGGATTACACAACAAACTCTAAAACCGTTTTTTTTTTTTTCAAAAGATGTTCCTATTCTCATGTTATTATGAACCATAATTATTGTATTGATTATGCATTGTGTCGGAACACCGCATGATCAAGTGACATACATCAACTGCTAAATTCACCATGACAACGACAAAGAGGGTAATTTAAAAGGTGTACCGAAGAATGCGAGATTAAATAAAGATCTGTGTGCGAGGCTTTTAAGAAAAAACACGCATGTACGTAATTAACGAGTCGGATCACAATTCTTGAGCTCCTGTCTGTCGTGTGCACCTTGATACACGTATTGCTTAATGCCTACTTCTAACGTGTTTCGACGAATTTCCGGATCATCTGTTTCTGGATTCAAGCATGAAATCCTCAAATCTATTCTCAGCTTCATTAATTTCGTTTTACAGGAAATGAAAATTCTTTATCATTCAAATGTTGTTAGTGGCAAATTTTGGTGTCTCCACAACTCCTTTCCATTTCTCATTGATCTTGTGCAAATCACCGGAAATAGACAAGTCAAATGGGTGAATCTAGAACTTCATCTCACCAAAGATTAAGTGTGTAGTGTAAAATACATAATGGAATGTTTCGTCACTTTATGCTACCACATACATCACCAGAAATTAACAACACTTCGTCTTTATGAAGTAATAAGTCGTTAAACCAGTTTAAACGGCAGCGCACACGTTAATCGATCTCATATTCGATGGACGCTAACCATATCAGCACTTTGTTTTGAAAACAGTTGATCCAATGACCTACTCCATGCAGATGGTTTTGCCAACCGTGTAACGCGTATGCCTCTCAATTACGCTAGGTTTAGGTCGCTTGTTAGTGCTAGATTTTAGGTAACCAGCGCACATGAGAAAGGTACACATTATTTGGTACCGTTGATGAACAAGCCGCCTTACATCTGTTTACCACAACCATTCTTTCTTTCCATTTCCACCTTATTCTTCAGCCTTGGGAGTATCACGAACGATATTTCGGAAGGAACAACTTTATTGATTTGTCATCGCATCGATAATTCGATAATTTGACCGAGGAACTTTGATAGGTTTTTGGATCGTCACATGCCGGTTAATTTGCAAATCAAGAGATTTTGTGCAGGGTCAAACCCTTTGCTATTTGTTCGTCCCTCGATCACCATTAATTTATTTACTCGATGTTTACTCGCAACTCGGTTGGGCTGAATTAGCGCTCTCGAGATGATTGATTAATAAAGGTGAAAGAATACAATGAAAAGAAATCTTTTGTAACGTTGGAAATGTTGTACGACGACGGACTCAATAATAATTGTTATTTTCTGAGTCATACGGAAATATTTTGCACGTCTTTATTTATTTCACCAGAAGCCAAATTTACAATTCGATTCCAGAGAGTTAATAATTCATCCCTCGTGTATCGTTCGCTGCAGTCGGTCTCACAACAAACATACAAAATGTGAACACCCAACTCAGATGGCATTAGACGAAAACCTCATGATCTGTATAATAAACGATCACACTGGATGCCTAAACGGGAAATCTCCCTGCTCTATCCATCTACCCTGTTCCCTATTCATCAGAGATATACAGATTTTTGCGGCAATAAGGAGTGTAGGTGATCCTTTTTTTTATTCTCGATATGGCCTTGTTTACACCTTTTGCCACAATCCTCGCATCGTTTATCGGAGGCATGATTCTTCAATGACTTTTAAAAAAACAAACATTGAATTTATTTGTTAATTCTATTTGAATAATAAAACTATCATTGACTAGAGTGAAGAGAAGGACCATAAGGTTCAGACAAGTTAGTCATTTATTGTCCGGAGCGAAGAGAAGGACTATACGGTCCGGTCGTTACGTAATACGCGCAATAACCTAATTAATAGTGTACGTAATTATCTTAACGTTAATGATAGAGCGTGGAATTAACTTAATGATAGAATACGTAATTAAAAAAATAAAGCGTGTGATTAATAGAATGTATGTGTTGTAATAAATAAATTATACAAACCATGTGCAAAGTACGCATCATGCTCCGGCCTTATGAACTCATTTGATATTAAATTAACTTTTCCAACAGAATTAACCTAACCTACTATCAAATTACCTAGAATAGGATGTATTTTATTTAAGAAAATGTTTAAAAATATTCAAATTTTATTATTTTTAATATAACTAATTTGATTTGTATCAAGTATTTTATTGTCTTTTGTTTACAATCTATTATTTCAAATATTATTTGACAATTATAAAAAAAAAAGCATTAAATTTTTTTAATAAATATATATATACATATATATACAGTATATATATTTGTTTTTTTTTGTTTAATATTATTATTAAATTGTAAATATATTTGAAACATGTATATTTATATTCAATAAATAAGTTAATAATTATAAAAAATAAATTAATAATAATTTTTTTTTAAGAAATATTGATAAATGAAACTTTAATAGGTGAAATAATATATTTTTTTTGTTTTAAATAAGTTAATCATATTGAATAATGTTCTATTTAATTTCAATAAATAATAAAATATTAACTATAGTCAAATCTGGATATAACAAACCTGTTTATAAAAAAGCCATAATAAAATATTAAATTTTTAAATAATTTTTTTCAATTTTTATTAATTAGTTTGAAAGCTTTGTTATATTTAAGTTTGATTATATATTATAATTTAATTTTTAAATCAACTCATATTTTTGAATTAAAAATTCTGTTACTGTCTTAATTTAATTAATAAGAACTATTATAAGAAAGCTTTAATTAGTTATATTACATAATAATTTTATAAGTTGTTAAATAATAAATTAATTTAAAGTTATTATCCAAATAAAAAATTTAATTGATAATTTTTATAATTTGATTAATTTTTTCAAAACTTTAAATTATTTAAACATATATTAAATATCTTTAATATAAAGTTTATATTTTAAATAACATTTTCAATAATACTATTTGAATATTAAATCAATATTAAATTTTTTTTTTTTTTTGAAGGAGCAAATGGCCATCGCACTGTTGTTTATTATTATAAATTTTAGACTTGCGAATTACAAGATTTACAACATGAGAAACATGATATACATCTCTCTTTATTAGGAAGAGTTAAATGTAGGACCTCTAAAGGCCACCCCTAAGTTCCTTGGCACCATTCAAGAAATACAGTAAAAAAGAATATTTAAAACCTATATTATGGCTTTAAATAGTGTCTAGCTATCTAGAAATTAATTTAAATGCCTAATTACATGAAGGCACTGCAGTCACTTTATATAGATTTGCCTCCAAGTCATAAGTAAGACTGGCACGCTTGCTTCTCAAATGTGGCTTGATGTTTGGCAGACAGAGTAGTGTCAGGAAATTTTTTGTTTGTGATTACCTTTTCATATGAAAGCACTGCAGTCACTTTATACAGGTTTGTCTCCAAGTCATGAAAAGGATTTGGCACACCCATTTCTCAAGTGTGGCGGAGTGTTCCATGAGTGGAGTTTGGTTTTGGATTTCTTAGAGGTGCTGATACCTGACCTTGTACAATGAGATCTACATTGTCGGAGAGGTAGGCGAGAAACTTTCGTTGTTGTCACCAGCTCATGTTGTGGAAGTAACTAGAATCCTTGGTCTTCACGTATTATCCTACTAGGTTCTCCAATCACCAGCATAACACCTGCAGGCTAACCTAGCTTACTATTAGTTGCATTGGTATTGGCTGCCATATTTTTCTGGATACTGTGGAGCACAACTCCTTGGATACTTTCGAATAATAATAGTTGTACACCAGTTTTTTAGATGTATCTAGTCTAACCATTAATAAGTAAACAACACCGAATTAGGTAATGATTGCCATGTTAATCTTTTGGAGAAGGTAAACTGTCCATCCTTTTTCTGAGAATCATGGAGGGAAAACTTTCCATAGCCCATATCCTGTGAAAACTTTGCCGCTTCTTATATGGTTTCTGAGAGAAACGAGTCTACTGACCAGAGAAGTGATGTTATGGAGATGGAGTTTTTAAAAGAGAAAGAGGCCTAGAGAGGAAAACCTTCAGAAAAAAAGAAAAAACCTAGCTTCAGCAAGAGAAAAAGGGAAAAATGGAAGGAAGGGGTAAAAGTAAAAAGAAAAAGTATATAAAAGAGAGGGGAGAAGATAAGAGAAGGGAAATAAAGAAGTATAGGAAAGGGACATAGAGAAAAGGGAAAAGATAAAACAAAAAAAGAGTAAACAACTCAAAAATTTTCCTAAAAAGGAAATTTTCAAGCATAGAAAGGGGAATGGGAAAGAGTTTTTTTTTTGTCAATATTAAATTTACTATAGATTTAATAATATTTTTTTATAATAAATTTAATACTGATCTAATATTAAAATAATTTTATTGACCTATGGGTCCATAGCACAGTAGTAATGCTCCATAGGTTACTAGGAGAAGGTTTAGGGTTCAACCCCACCTGGTTACAAAAGAATTTATCACCTTCATGATTGGTTGATTGGCTTCCAATTCATGTCATACCCAATCAGCTGACAAACAATCAATTTTCCAAATCTAATTAGGTTGCATGAAGATGAAACCTCTGGTCTTCCCGACGATCGTAGGCTGAAAACAGGTCGAAGCAAGAAAGGTTGCATGAGGAAAGGCTTCTGGTCTAACTCCGGTAATAAGTCCACAAAATACCAACCCAAACTGGCGACAGCAGACTCCGTCACACAATATAAAGAGGTTAATCCTAAGCTGATCTATCCCAATCTGGAGCTTGTAGATCTATCCCAATGGTGGTGTTTCACGGAACTTAATCATATGGCCGAAGGATAAGATATCAGTCACAGGTAGTGAGAAAACTAGACAAAAATCGTTAAGCCAAGTGAGTCTAGTAAGGTTCTACAAGATTAAATCGGAATCCAAGCAAGGATGCCAGTTCCACAGGTGGTGAAAACGATAGTGCGACACTATGCTAGTGGCACATCTTGAGGATCAGCGATAACAGATGATTGGAATTCTGGGGTTAGTCTCTATAATAATATTCCATACACACTGCTCTCTGCAATAATAGACCAGCAGGTTTAGGCGGGTTTAAACTAGTAATAGGATTCCCCCCCTGCGAAAGTCCCACCTGATATATGGACACATCTCCTTGGTGTTTAAATGGACATATAGTTGGGTAATAGTGGTTAGCGTAGCTAGTCTTATAGTAATATATGTACTAAGCAGTGTTAACTTACAGATTAATTGTAAAGACATAATGGGTATCCTGTACCAACCGATCGTTGGTTAACCTATAAAGATACTTGGTGTCTATCTGGATATATAAATGTATCAATAAAGATTACACACCGTGTACACGTTCCACTATAAAAAAAAAAAAAAGAATATACAATCTGGAACAAAAAAAAACATATTTTTTTTCAATT